TCTTTCAACTCACGAACCTCTACACGCCGAACTCGCCATGCGGGAGACGTGTAAACGATTAATTGTAATCAGACTATCCTTATAGACCCTGCCCAACTGTAAAGTTTTCATTACCCCTGCAAATGTTTTGTCCTGACGAAAATTTGCTGAAAACATACGTTCGCCAACTTGACTTCTCAACTTAAGTATGGGCATGTTTGCAGAAAAAAACTGTACCAGTTCACCAATTACTTGCAGGGGACCAAAGAACCCCACCCCCGGAAAGAAAACTGAATGGCGGACACGGGCACTTGCACGCAATGACAACTCGTTGATTCAGTGAAAGCTCGTCACGCGAAGCACATTTTAGCGAGTGGCTATCCTATTATTTGAAATACTCGTAGATGAGGCACTTCGGCACCCAAGATTCCAATGTCGGAACTTCGTCTTCAGATCCATTAGAATATGAACACTCCTTCCTAAAAAAGTGCACGTCGCAGAAAAAAAGTATTGCTTCCGGAAGGCAGGGAAGGTATGTTGTTCAGTGAAGTGATCATTTTCAATGAACTCGGAGAACCACACCTTTTTGTCAAGCATGCAATGCATTACCTTCTATAATTGTGCCGCATCCAGTACGCTATACAATACGCCCCAGAGGTTGTGTAACATGCGAAATATATGCGAAAGATAAATAATACTCTCTCGGTAATGGGCATCGAGTAAGGTTGTAAGACTCAATATAGTGCAGTTTACTCTGAAGCCATTTCAGTCACGATAGGATGCCGGCATTTTAAGGAGCTTCTTTACGACCACTAACAAAACGTATGCACTGTAAAAAGTGGCTACTTAAGTAGTCTGTATTTTCCTCATAGATTTTGACTGCCTTCAAAAATTTTAAATATATTTTATGGAAAACATAAACGAAAAGAATTATTTATTGCACTCAATTGGTAGGAAATTACGCCTTCTTTAAAGGTCATACCTTACGAAGTGGTATATTTCGGTTTTTAAAAGTTTCTAATTATGAGATTTTTTACGACTGTGAGGTTGTTATAGGGACGCCAGC